GTATTCACTAAGGGGTTTATCTCACAATCCTCCAACCTTTCTCCCTTAGGAAGTCTAAAGAGTAGATCTATGAAAAGGATAAATATATCCAAAACAATGTGAGACTAACCCTTCTCATGGAGATATATGTCAACATAATATAAAAAAGAAAATTCAGTAATATCGAAGATATCCACTGTTTAATTTCATTGGATCTTTTAGCTGATTTGTTCAGTTGTTTATAGTTGTTCATCTATAGGGATATATTCATTTGCGGCATATATCTGTCTGGGTGCTGTGATTTAAATTTAAGACTGATGTCATGGAGATCCGTTGGCAGGGAAGGGCTGGCAGCCTCAGGCCTGGGTGGCAAAACCAGTCAAGTGACCCATTGCACCACCAAATCAGTTCACCATCCATGCCCACCTTTTCCTGGTTTTATAACGGATATTGATGTTATGCTAATCAGTAGCTCTTTGCCATACCCGTTCCTTCACGGCTCTGACTTTCAATGTTGTCAGAGCGCAGGCTGAGAATCTCTGAGCCTGTGCTCTGACTCACTAACTGAGCGCCGGAACCACAAGGCAGAGGATATGATCTGACTGGACCTACTGCTGGTGTGCACCAGTGGACCACCAGCAAATCGTTTAAATTGAATATGCTGGTGTCCCCAACTTGTGAGCTGTGTTGGCCGCCGGGCACCTCTGTTGTCATGGCACCCTGCGTGACCGCACTGCGTGCACACCCCAACGGCTGGCCCTGCTGACACACACTGATGTTACTACTTAGAAATCCCTCAATATTAATACAGACATCAGAGTAAACACCAATAAACTGTGGAAACAGAGCTGATCCCCCCCAAATTTATAAAGATTTGCTTACTGGATTTGTTGTAAGATTAAATCATGCCTCCTCCTCTCGCTCTCCCATGCGCTGCTCTGTAGGCTGGGAGGAAGTGAAGAGTAATCACATTCTCCCAGCACAGCGCCACCTGTGGCTGCATGGGGAACAGCTGGTTAATGTAATGCTTGAAGGACGGCCAGCTACCGCAGAACCTCTTTGTTACCGTCTCTGCAAAGGGCTCCAGGCACTGCTTGCTGTGAGTGTGAGCCACTATAAATTAGGGGCAGAGGGCACTTGCACTGCGGTAAAGACGGGTCTGGGCATGAGGAGAGTGCAGTGCAATCAGTGCACTCCCCTCCTCTGGGTCACCAGTAGACTGGTGCACCTGCCCAGGATCAGAGCCGGTGCAAGGATTTTTGACGCCCTAGGCAAAAGAAAAATTTGCCGCCCCCCATGTGACATCACAATGCCCCACCCATATGATCTGCCATATGAACTAACACCAGTGCTGCACACAGTGTGTGTTTACATTAAAAAGCCTGCAGGGACCGACTATAGACACCAGAACAACTTCATTAAGCTGAAGTGGTTCTGGGGACTATAGTGTCCCTTTAATGTGAGGTAAATTATAGATTAGTGTCACTTATATCATACTAGATCCAGATGAGGATGATGATGGGCTGCAGTTTGGCTCTACTGGTCTGGTGTAGAACAGGATCTCTGGAGGCTGCTTGCAACTGTGGTCACAAAATTCAATGTTCTGGGAGAATTGGAAGCAGCTCCATTTTATGAGGGCCCCTTACACAGCTCAAGGTCTGGGCCCCAGGGCCTGATGGTGAGTATGCCCATAAGGCCCACTCATGAGTCCTCTTATATGTTCCACCCACCCATGAGTTCGCTCACAGGGAGTGGAGTGTGTAGGGGATGTGTTATGTGTTATTGTAGAGGATCTAATATGTGTGCTTATGGTATGTAGTGTATAGTGATACCAGTTTGTGTAGGTGATGCAGTGTGTTTGTGTGTAGTGGAAGCAGTGTGTATTTGTGTATGAGGGATGTATTGTGTGTTTCTGGTTGTGTGTAAGGGATGCATTGTGTGAATCTGTGTTTGTATGCATAAGGGATGCAAGGTGTGTGTCTATATGTGTGTGCATTGAGTGTGTGTAAGAGATGTATTGTGTTTCTGTGTGTATGTAAGAAAAGCAGTGTGTGTGTTTGCATGTGTGTGTAAGGGTTTGCATTGTGTGTTTCTGTGTATGTGTGCAAAGGATGCATTGTCTTTGTGTGTAAGGGTTGCATTGTGTGTTTCTCTGTGTGTAAGGGAAGCATGTTGTGTTTCTGTGTATGTATAGGGATGCATTGTGTGTGTGTGTGTGTGCACGTAGTGTGAAAGAGCTCCCTGTCTTGCCCCCCTATCCTATAGAGCTGTCCCTTCTGTCACTTAGAGCTCTCCCCTACCCCTTAGTGGTCTCTCCTCTTCCCCACCCTCCCCTAGCGGTCTCTTCTCACCCACCCTCCCTGTGCTCTTCTCATCCACACTCCCTGTGTTCTTCTCACTCCCCCCATGTGTTCTTCTTACCTCCCCCCTCCCTGTGTTCTCCTCATCTCCCCTTCTCCTCACCCCCTCCCTGTGTTCTTCTTACCCCCTCTCTTCCCTGAGTCCTCCTCGCCTCCCCTCCCTGTGCTCTCCTCACTACCAACCTCCCTGTCTTCTTCTCAGTCCCCTCCCACATTCTCCTCATCTCCCCTTCTCCTCACCCTTACTCTCCCCCTCCTCCTTGTGTTCTTCTTACTCTTCCCCCCTCCTCCTTGTGTTCTTCTTACCCCTCCTCCCTGTGTTCTTCTTACTTCCCCCGTTCTTCTTACCCCCTTGTTCTTTTTACTCCCCATTGTTCTCTTACTTCCCCATTCTCTTAACCCCTGTTCTTTCTTACCTCCTCCTGTTCTTTCTACCCCCTCGTTTCTTGCATTCCCCTTGCTCTCTTTCTTACTTGTTCTTACCTCCCTGTTCTCTTATACTCCCTGTTCTCTTACTTCCCCACCTCTGTTCTTTTTCTTACTTCCCCACTCTGCTCTTCTTACTGCCCCCCTGTTCTTTCTTTTTCTTATTTCCCCTTCTTCCTCCCCACCTTTTTCTTTCTACTTCCCTCCTTTCTGTTAGCTTCTCACTCTACCTCCCTCTTTTTTACCTGTAGCTTGCCGAAGCTCCTCTGCGCCCGCCGAGTGAGTGAAGGTGTATACTCAGTGTGCACTTCCTCGCCGTCAGGGCAGGAACGTGTCCCTGCACCGCTGAGTTTA